CAAATCAAAGGAAAGCTTGGATATGACATGCAATATGCTGGTATAAAGTTGTAGAGAAAAATAAAAAACATTTTTAACGTTGTCACGGATATTACGAATGCCGTAACAAAGTGTTGACGAGTTTCACATGCATTTGTAAAAACATGTTTCACATGCATATGGAGGATAAAGTTTTTAGATAACATGGTTAAATAACATTAGCGAAACTTTCAATAAAAGATCACTCCTGACAAATCATAAGACTGGAGCATATTGCGACTCAAGTTTCAACATTCGATCACTCCTGATGAAGACACTACGCTAGAGTATATGTAAACTTATCTTTCAACAACATATCGTTCATGCTCAAGATATTAGACTGACGTACGACAATCTCTAATGTCATATAAATCTCGATAAAAAGGGAGTATATAACTTGCTTATTAACAAACTATTAAAGATATCAACTGAGCATGCGCAGCTAAATTGATTGGCTGCCAATATTCATGGTCATGGCGACGACCAATTGCATCTACTAGCCCCGATTTTGAAGTAAATAGCATGTTTAGTAACAATTTAATGGAGAAATCATCTGCGCATGCGCTCGAGCATTCGCAGCCCACTCGACTAATTGTTTATAGTCATGGCAACGACTAACTAGATGTACTTGCACTACATCTGTGGCAATTATCCCACTTAATCGCAAATTATCAAAGAAATTATCTGGGCATGCGCAGTTGTGACTTTAATAATACCACAAATTTCGTAAGCCTCTAAATTTTTGTATATATAAATATAAATCTATAGCTTCATATAGTAGATGTCAACTAGCAGTGGAAGCTGGGTGCGATATAGTATGCATTGGCTTAGGGTCCACACTTCGGTGGCGACCGCACTCTCCTGCGTACCCCGAGCAAAGCCTATCGCAGGTGATCTCGGGTCTGATGGGCGGAAGCTTGCTATTGCATCTCCCAAGTAGGATAGCGTGGAGGGGCCGAAATCTGCTACCGAAACGTTAACATGCCGCGTTTTAGTGCCTTACGCTTAAGAAGGTATCGGGAAGCATGGACCGAAAACGGGGTTTTTTCCTTTCAAAATTTGTCTTTTTTCTTTACAAGAATTCTTCTCATAAAAGAAACTAGAACATACTGCCAAGGTTCAGACAACTTCTGAAAATCCCCCGGGCGTAGTTTCGTTTTCTTTGTAAAACGAGAAGAATACTAACTTGAAAACATGAAGACTGGGTGACATAATATTTACCATAAACTAAGACAAGAAATGTTTACTTTACTCTGTGACATCACTTTACTTTAAAGTGAAAGGTTTGAACATGGGAGTATCGTTACATGTTTGTAGATGTAGATCGTCCAGGTTAGTAAAGTCCTGAAAAGAACTGTTGTTGTTGATGCTGACTCTAAAGATGACTACCGCTAAGGTTGTTAAGAAGTCAGTCAACATCAACATCAACAGTCCTTCGCAGGACACCACTAACCTCGACGATCTACATCTACAAACATCTACTTCACTTACTCGGCTATCTTCTTTAATTCAAGACTACAGTGTGTTACATCGTTGTCGACAAAGCTACAATGGAAAATAGGGAAAAAAAGTTGTACATCGGAAAAGAAAACCATGTCATCAACATAGAAGTGAACAAAAATTTCTAACAAACACCGTCAATTTTCGTCAAAATAAAATTTCGTGTATTTTTCAGTTGTACCTTAAATCCAAAATTTGAGTGGCTGGTGATATGATACTGGTCTGTGATGAAACGGTGAACATTAATTTTGATTATTAAAAATTATCTACAATGCAATCGTTTGCAATCAATTTCTATATAGCTGCACACCTCTCTATTTAAGCAACATGTTTGTATAACTTGCACAAACGACTATATTGTGGTATGGAAATAAAGCAGTAGACGTAAAGGTACAAAGTACTGAGAAGAGGGATATACTTCACGAGGCAAATTGTTGTTTTATATTGTATATGATGATAGGTTGCGGTAAGCCATTTCGGCGTTCCCTTTGGCCAGAAAACATAATTGACCGGCAGCCATTTCGTTGATCACGTGCACAAGAAGACATAAGTTACATACAAACAAATGGTAAATTTTGTAAATAGCTTTGGCTGATGGCGGACCAATATACTGTTTGATGTCGGCTCTGTGGGCGAACAAATAGCGAAGTTAGATGAGAAAGTGAATTAAAAAACTTTCGAGTCACAAACATATTTTCAATCTGTCCACGAACGCAACGTCTATGGCTCTAGTTATGTTCGATGTTGTCAATATAATTACATTAGGATGTCTGAAATAAGAAGAAAACAACATTGGGGAAGACTAGGTTTAGCAAATAAACGCATAAATGTAGTTCAAATCAAGACTTCTGTAAATACGTAATTGATAGATAATAAGTATTTGACTGAGCAAAGTTGTCATCAAGCAAGTTTGTTCATGTCATATAAATATTTTCGTGCTTTTACTCCTGTAAAAGCGACAACATTGTAGAGAAAGAAATAATACATAGTTCTAAAGATAGCAAATACCATAGTGAATGGTAAATGCAATATAATAAGTTGATAAAGACTGTTGTCTTGGCATTATAAATATCGGTAGATTGTAAATTTTCATTCAGCAGACGTTGACACCTGAGGAGTAGTCTGCCGAAATGCATCGTGTCGTTTAATTTAGAACTATTGGGTTAGTGCTCTTTACTTACAACAGTTCTTGTAAGAACTATCAACTTATTATATTACTTTTACCATTTACTATGGTATTTGCTATCTTTAGAACTATTTTCTACAAAGTCTCTATTTTATTAAATAATACATAACGCAACAACCCTGCCGGCTGGCCTCGCCGTTCATATAACCGAATACAATCTCTTAGTTCACTAAAAAATCCATGAGAACGCAATGTTCGCCGAAATGCATATTCTGCTTATATTTTGCATTTACAGTTTTATATGGTCAATTTGAGTGAGAAATGCATTCACAACACGAATGGCATCTGAAGGTTCTTGTCCGTTCAACGCAGATTTTCTTGCCGATGTTAAACTTTCAACCTTCAGAAGTAAAAGATATGGATAGCAAAGGTATTTTCCTTAAACATTACCGACAAGCGTACATGTGCTTCGGGTATTTTGTGAAACAAGAAACACAAATAGTAAATGATTTCTCATCTATCTGACCATGAGCATTAAGAAAGAAATGTTTAAGCAAAGTTTACCTCGTCGATAAGAACGCAAACTAAAGTTTATTTGTCGTCAATAAACTCTTGAATTTTCTGAAACATTTTCATCATTAACTTTCCACTCTGTTTGTAGGAAAGATAATGTCAATGTACATTTTAAATTACAGATGCTATTTTTAATTGGATATGATCATTTTGTGATACGGAACTAGATTTATTAACTTCAACGACATCTCAATCCCAGGTATATAAATGTCAGTTTTCTGAACTGATATTTTGATGTGAGCCGTGCATTTTATATTGACAGGGGGGTGACGACAAAGGTTTCACGGAAAATTTATGGCAATGTAATTTTTGGTTCCAGAGGATTTTCGCACTCGGTGATGTTGCTTTGAGCTATTCAAAATGATGCCTACCTCGGAAAATAAACTGTGAATGTTTATTTCAATAAGCTGGCCATAGTTAAATCTAAGGATTCAAAAGTAGAAACACACTTTAATTTATAGTTCATAATCCTTAGGTAGACGACAATTTCATTAAAAACAAAGTAAAAGATAATGCCAAAAAAGAACATCTTGTAAACTTAAATAAAAGTTACAAAGCAAAACAATTGAAAGTGTAATATTTACATTTTTAATCGTCTTGTTTTCTAAATTTGATGTTGAGTTTACAACATGTCCTTTTTCGGATTATACTTTGTATTTATAATTCACGACATAACAATAAAATTACGTGGCAATATTAGTTGCAGTACACACATGGATAGTAATGGATTGCGATTTACGTAACATCAAAATAAAATGTAGTGTTTTTACCTTTTAGAAAGTCGTATGGATAATTTTTGAGCAAGCGCCTTGCATAAGGATGTTTCACCAGTACCGGTTGGCTCTGTGAAAGTTTTAAAGAAAAGCTCAACTCATTCTTCTGGATATTTGCAGTAGATCACGTGAAGACAAACATGATGTACTATGAGTGGTAAATGCTGGTGTTTGATTGGCTTCGTTGTTTGTTTTCGAGTGACGTCACAGCGGTACACAAACATGGTAGCCTTGACGTCATTTAATAGTTGGCTCGTTAAAACACCATCACGTCTCTCGCGTTTCATTCTATCTGATTGTAGCTAACTTATTCTTATCAATACTTTGATATGTGATTTTTCAATCTTGAATGTTATGAGTGATAAGAGATTTACTCCGTTAAGATGAGAGTTGTTACAAAGTCAACACACGCAAAAATAGAATCTAATTTGATTCGTAAAAAGATACACGTGACGGACGATGACGCAAGGACTCACGTCTGGTTACCAAGGAAACTAACTTACCATGTAATAAGGTAACTTTATTTCACGAGATGATGTTGAAATCCACGCCTCTAAAATATGATTCAAACACGTGACTAATATATACTTTGAAAATGTCATTGTTTGGGAGTGATTTTAAAAAGATGGAGTTCTTCAAGTTCTTCATATCCATGCCCCCCATCATGAAGTTGATAGACATGATACTTTAGCATAACTTTTTTCAAATCAATTATCTGTTAAAAGAATTATGAAGGTTTGACAGAAATATGTACTTCATGTAAATCTTCATTATCAAACTAAGTCAATCCTCTAGGAGTTCTTGCATTTTCTTTCCGTGGGGTTCAACAAAAGGGATGTGTGACATACCAGGGGGGTGTGAACAACCTACTCTCACACATGCGAAAGTAAATATTGTCTGATCATAGGGTCAATAACCTTGCCATATGTTGAAAAATTATCTGTGTCATACACAATAGTTATGCTCTTGACATGTTCCATTAAAAAGGATCAACAAATTCTAAACATGAGTCGCCATGAATTGTTTTCATGTTGATAAGAAAGTCTTTGACAAGCTTTATAATTCTATACTCTGGGATAGTGCTAAAATAAAGTGGTAAATACTATTAAGATGTTAATGCTTATTATTAAATTGAATAAATGGTTTTGTTCACGTTTTGACAGCACAGTGGTATTTGAAGAAGTGAGTCTGTTGAAGCACAACATATGACCAGTGACGTCAATCTAGTAACATATTAAAATTATTCAAGTTTCTTTACAAAACAAAAACATGATTTGTTCATTACCTAGTTTCACCTGTAGCATGGTTTCACTAACACAGACTCACTCAACTAGATTATTACATGAAATGCAATTCAATATCCTTCTGCATACAGTCCTTTGTTCATATTATGAACTAACCTTTCTTTGCATTCATTTACTTCGACGTTTAAGAATGGCTGACTTGGTAAAGGCAGTGCTTCAGAAAGTTCTTGAACTTTATCCATTTTAACGATATTGCTTTAGTTAGAGATGTTATACAAAAGATTATTCACAATATTGGCTGTGTAGGAAAAAAAACTTAAATATCTTTGCTACGTAGAAATAAAAAATAAATATCGTTTCAATTTCCCGCTATGAAACTCAAAGTCAGACTCAGGCATAACAATAACATATATATTTATTACCTTGTTTCAGCTTTCAAAAAAAACTTTATATGTTCTTTAAAATATTATTTGTCTTTCACTCTTTTACAACAGATATGTGGAGAGAAATATTCTTGCGGAGAACGAATGCTTGTGAGGTTTAAAATTAAAAATTGTTATGTTGTTTTCTTGGAAGACGATATATAACTTTTACATGAAGTAGTTAACATGATAACGATGGTCAAATGTGGTCTTATTTCTAAGGAAATTTCTCAGAAAAGAATGGCCTATTTGAAGGAAATTTCTGGATATTTCTCAAAAAATTAATTGTTTGGACAAATTCTTGGGCAATTCTTAAATTTTACAAATTTATATACACGCTTTTTAATCGTGCTTGTTTTACAATATTTACAGTTGAGTCATTTTGGAAAACTGTATAAAACAAGATGAAGCATATGAAGTAAGAACAGAAGACTTTGTTACAACGATTCCGTCATTGTAGCAAACATATCCTAGAGCTTAATCTGAGGGGTGATGGCTCACCTGTATCACCATAGGATGCTTCTTGACATACGGTACACTGATAATACGTCAATCATCCCCAAAATAACTGAATAAAACCAACGTAATCCCTTCTCGTATAGAACGTCCTGTTCAAATCCAGCCAATCCAACTGTCTGAACAAAGCAATATTTTTTTCATGAACTGTTTGAATAGAATATATCTATTTTGAATGTTGTGTCAAGTGTCAATAAAGTGTTAAAGAAAACAATAAGCAAAAGTTGGAACATTAACGTCTACGTAATCACAAGCATAAGCAACGAGCGTGCTTATACTCTCTCGAGGGTTTACAGAAAAAACATCAAAATCATATTCTTCTTTTCAATATTTTATACTTCTTTCAGCTTAGGAAACAACATAAAAATAACACCACGCTTTTTATGGGCAAATTTATTCCTAAAGCTCCTCCCACCACTCAAAAGAGCGAAGTTACACCATTACACAGGCTTAAGGAAATGTGTTAGGCATTAGCTGAAAGAAGAACACAAAAGAACAAGAGAAAAACGAAAGAAGATTTCCATGTCTTTCTGTGTAAACTCTGAAAGAAAAGAAATAAAGTTTTATCGTTTATGCTTATTCTATTCGTATGTACCATGCATTCAATTTTGTTTTCTCATGAGACCTAAAAGACCAGGAAAACGGAAATTCTTTTGAATATTGTTTTGTTTATGCTCATGTTGATTCTAATCCTTCATTTATTCTGTCTTGTTTCACAATTAATAATCACTTTTGCTTGTGCTGTAAGACTAGTATGACCAAAGACAGCACCAAGTGTAACTTTGCCATTGGAAGTTGAAAAGAAGAAAATCATTTTTCTATGACAGCCACAGGCTAAGAAACTCAATTTTAAAACAAATAATTTAAAAGTGTACACGGTTAAGAATCACTGACGATAATAAGAAAAGATGGCAATGAAGTGAAGCAAGGTGTCACAATAATTTATGATGCTGAACATACTAAATTATTTGATCAGAGAGCCATGTTAAAGTACTAAGAAGTAACCAAAGTGATTAGTGATTTATTAACGAACATAATAAGTTCATGGTGCGATGATTTCCGATACTGAAAAATCAATTCATTTCTCTCGTATTCTATATTTCTAGACAACAAAGTTGACTTCAAGATGTTGCTAACGGAAGAAACAGATCATCCTTCGACCCAAAAACATCCTTCTTCATTGTCCATATCAATAATTCGACCGACCAACAGAGAGCTAGCTTATGTTTGATTATTGCCTAGTTCTGACACGTGCTTGATTTGGTAATAACTGAGGGATTTGGTAGTAAAGAGATGTGTTGTACTTGTGCAACAACTGACTGGCGCTTCTATATACCATGGAGTAATTTTGTAGATGTTAGCACAAATCAGTTAACATGCTTTAGAGCATGTTAATATAAGAGTGCTTCTTGCACTCATATCTTGTGTAAAATTAAAACAAAATCTAATTTACATTAAATCAATCATCATGGTTGAAAAGAAATACGCTGGCAGAGTATTGCAAAAATCTTTAAACTCAACATCTATGCGAAATGATTATCACGAGCCAGTCAGACTAGCCGTCTACTTTGAATATTTAATGGTTTATTTGTGCCTATGATTGCACTGTTATAATATTGAGGGATGTTATAACAGTGTCTACAAAGCAATAAAAATTTAACTTCCGGTGATGTTCTAATGTTTGGTAAATGATTTAGCCAAAATAGCTATTTTGTATGATTGTATAGAACTATTGCAATCATAAAGATAATTCCTCGAGAGGAAACTGTTTCAAATTTTCGAATCCAACTTGAGGGCTCGTCATGAATGCTCGTCTGTCCATTATGTTCAATGGAGATGATTGACTTCGTTTGAAAAATCTGACAGTAACTTTTGTGCCATAAAAGTAAACCTTTCCTGTAAATGTTTGCAGTTTACAGCTGGAAATCATCGTAAAGTACCAGTTTTGATAGAAATTTCGACAGATCGTCTGCAAACACTGGTTTTGAAAATTATATGCTCCTACAGTTCGTCATGATTGTATTTTAACATTATTCTTACAGTTATTCATGGCACTGAACGATGAAGATTGAGACTGCGGTATGTGTTTGTTTGTCAGTTGTTTGCTTGTTTGCTTCATCATACTGCAACTTTTTCCTCAGTATTTTTCAGATGCAGAGGTCGATAAGATCAAGAATAGCAGAACAGAGATGTAAGCATGTATTTGTTTGTATCGTTCATCAAATCTTCTTTGCTTCAATTTCTTTCAGAACCACATTGCCGTAACCTGTCATTGTCAAGCAACGCTTCTTGCAGTAAGTTAAACCAATATTTATTACTTATTTTTGGAGAAGATATTAAAATTTAAAGAAGGCATGTTTCGAGAAGGCAAAATTTTCGACTTCCATTCTTCGGTGTTTGCAGATGATCATAAACATGCAAAAACACAAAACATGCACATAAAAGATTTTTTACAATATTCTAACTAAACTAGAGAGTTCCCTCGCTCTCTAATTTAGTGAAGAATTTCAAAAAGAAATTCAAGTATTCCAAAAGAGACTTCTGCCACCTATTTTGAAATAACTTGCGCAAAATTTCAAGCAGCGTACACTTGATATTCTCATAGTTATATATGTTTGTAAATGTAGATCGTCCAGGTTGGTATAGTCCTGAGAAGGACTGTTTTTGTTGTTGTTGACTGACGTTTCGACAACCTTAGCGGTAGTCATCTTCAGAGTCAAATGAGGAGTTAACGTCAGGTTAGTTGTATTTGTTATCTGGTTCTTACGTCATTGTATTGTGTGTACAGGAAATGTGTATTGTCATTGTGAATTAGTGTGAAGTGAAATATTTTTATTTTTAGTTGTGATGTGTGATACAATTTACCAAAGATGTCGAAGCAAACGATACTCTTCCTTTTCTCGACTGTTTGGTAAAAATGACAATCAGAAACTACGAACAACAGTTTATCGCAAGCCAACACATACTGACCGACTACCAGAACAATCATCTTACAACCCTATATCACACAAAGCCACACAGTCAGAACATTAACAAGACGTGCACAAATCATATGTGATTCACCGGACGCTCTACAAAACGAAAACAACTATCTCAAACATGTTTTTGACAAAAACAACTATAACTCTGACTTTATCAAACGCAACACTTACAAACCCAACGAACCCAACGAAACGAACAACTCAGTGACAACAGCAACGATACCTTACATCAAAGGTACGTCTGAGACTATCTCGCTTATCTTACGACCATACAACATACGTGTCGCACATAAACCAATCACAACGTTACGACAAGTACTAACGAACATAAAGGACAAAGAACAACCCAACGAACGACAAGGTGCAGTTTACAAAATAAACTGCTCCGACTGCCACGCCTCCTATATCGGGGAAACTGGCAGGAACTTAAACATAAGACTTACTGAGCAGAAACGAGCTACTAAGAAACAAGACAAAACTAATCACATTGCCGAACATCACCGAATCACAAAGCACAACATTGACTGGGACTCGGCAAAATGCATCACTTACAGTACTGACTATAGACAACGGCTTACATTAGAAAGTTGGTATACCAACTTGGAACAAACCCCCCTGAACAGATCACAGCAATTACCGGCACCTTACAAACGACTTATTCACAATACAAACAAACGATCAACTAAAAACATTACACTTCAAACTAATTCACAATGACAATACACAATTGACACCCACACACTACAACTAAAACGTCACACCTAAATCACACATCACAACTAAAATAAAATATTTCACTTCACACTAATCCACATTGACAATACACATTTCCTGCACATTTCCTGTACACACAATACAATGACGTAAGAACCAGACAACGAATACGGCTAACCTGACGTTTACTCCTCATTTGACTCTGAAGATGACTACCGCTAAGGTTGTCGAAACGTCAGTCAACAACATCAAAAACAGTCCTTCTCAGGACTTTATTAACCTGGACGATCATCATTTACAATCATATATCAATACAACAAAATCAAAATGTGCTACAACTTTACAAGTATTAGATGTAGTACAAGTATTTGATGCAGTTGCACTTCAGAACATCACAAAAGGTTACTTAAAGTAATTTCTATACAATATTGTTTGTTTTCATTTACCAAAACTATGCAGTTGCACTTCAAAACATCACAAAAAGGTTACTTAAAATAATTTCTATACAATATTGTTTGTTTTCATATACCAAACCTATGCAGACTTGAGTCTTTTTGAAATTTCATATGAAACTCAATTACAGAAAATCCGTAAATATCCAGAGATTTAATATGTACTTTTTTAAAGAAACAAGTAAAAATCCTACAATTTGCATGAAAAGAAGCAAAATAGCAATCATAACAAATAAGCTTCTCTCTCGTGAACCGTGGAGATGAACTATGATATACTTTTTTGTATAGACTAAAGAGTTTAATCGATCAAACAAGTTTGACGCTGGTAAGAAAACGACGCACATCTGCATTCATACATGTGTACCCGACATATAGGTCTTTCGTCGATAGTTATAAATGCATCTTCGTAGGAGCAGATAACTGACAGCCACAGTTGACTCGCTGTTATGAATTTAAGGTTTTCACCTTGATTTTCAACAAAAAATTGCTTGCCGAATCACAAATACACACATACATTTTCCTCACTCCTTCCTCAGGAGGTCAAAAAGCAGTCAATTTCGGTAAATCTCAGCGGCAAAGGACGAAATCCGCCATTTTTTTGGCGTCATCAGATATCTAAGGCCGCGCTTGAGATAGCCGCTCCAGTTATTATAGAACTCAATGGTTGTATATGCCAGAAAATGGGGGAATGCTATAACCATTGAGTTCTATAATAACTCTATCTCAAGGCCTTAGATATCTGATGACGCCTGGCGGATTTCGCCGAAATTGACCGCTTTTCCGAAAATTTCCCAATTTCCCACCCTCCTGAGGAAAGAGCGAAGAAAATGTATGTGTTTATATTTGGTTCGGCAAGCAATTTTGATAAAAATTAAGGTAAAACCTTAAATTCATAACAGGAGTGACTGTGATTTGAGATTTACCGAAATTGACCGCTTTTCCGAAAATTTCCCAATTTCCACTCCCT